AAATAACACTCTACTGCCTTGAGGGGAGAAATTAACAAAAATCTCTTAGAATTTTCCTGCATGGAAGATTTGCCTATTCTCTCAATTTATTTATTTTTTAATAATTTATATTAGTGTAGCCTATGGATATTTATATTATCTTTTGGGTTATAAATAAATACTATTTTTTTCTTTTGTTGCTTAAAATTTTCATCTTTGTGATTAGGGTTTTTACAACTTGTACTGTGTCTCACCGAAATACCACCGTGTGTGTTAATATTTCTTTGCCTTCTTCCACAATAAGATGTTCTAAACTCATTTTTGTAGGTTTCCTGCCTCAGCTATGAAGTAAGCCATATTGCCAAGAAATTGTAGTTCCTTTATAGAGAATGGTTTTAGAAAGCAATATATGGTCCCTGGGTATGCTCATTGTTTCTAGAATATTATTGCTTTTAGTACTTGCACATAAAATAATTTGGAAATATGTATAAATTTTAACCACTTTATTTCTGCATATATCTCTAAATATCTATACTAATAATAGAGGAATATGTAAATTGGCCAGGATGCCATAATGTAATGACTGAAGAGCAGGGACCTGAGGCTTTATTGCTCCTGGCCAGGGTAGGGGACCTCAGGACATGCTCCCCCCAAGCAAGTCTTGACGGGGGACCTGATATGGTGTCCCCCACCTGGGGCCAGGTCAGAGAACCTGGGGCTGTGTCCCCCAACCAGAGAGGTTGATGTGGGTGGGGTTGGCTGGGTCTGGGTCTCATCCAATGGGGGTGGGTCTGGCTGAGAATGAGTCTCTTGCATTTTCAAAGTGTGTGAGGGTGGGGATGGGGATTAGATTCTAGGTCCTACGGTATGCCCCAGACTCTGACAGGAGGGACATTTTCACATACATTTTACTAATTTTCTTTAATCTCTGACATTTCTATTATAGAGGAAGGGCAAATAGCAATATTAAAATATTTCCTCTAATTAATTCCCTTTTCATGTGCATGAATTTTGTGCACTGAAGACACTAGTTTATATATATTTACTGGTATATATTCTTCCATATCTTTCTATATATCTACCTATCTATCTATCTATCTATCACCAATCAATCATCTATCTCTTTCATATATCTATCATTTCCACCATTATCTATGCTACGTGAAAATTCATATGGTTGTTTCCAATTCTAATCAAGTTCCTGTGTGGCTGATTCTAGACTTCTTTACTTCTTTTTCTGTAACTTTTCACTCCAATAGTTAGAAACCTGGTTTTACATAATTTCCAAGTATTTTCTTGTTCAATTCTAGTACTTTTAGAGTGGCTTCATAATTTCAACATCATATTTTAATGATAAAACAAAGATGTGTTAGGCAAGGCCATTCTTGAACTCTAGATATTTTTGTTTAGTAATAAAAAAGGTCCTGTACCAGGTACTCATAAGAGATAAGTTATACATTGAAGAAAATTAAAATTCAATTAAGATAAATAATTGAGTAAATGTTAGATTTTTATCTTCTATTCACATGAATTATTATTTGTATTTGCTACTTAAAAATGAAGAAGTAATTAGGAAAAAAAACACACACCAATTCCTCATAATCACTGTGGTGGCTGGAAAGAAATAATGCTCTCAGTTTACCATTAGGAGAAATTTATTATTACATTGAAGAGATCCAACTTCAATCCACCAGATATGAAGGCTTACTCCTTAGCCATAGGAAGACAGTGAAGATAGTTTGTCAAGATCATGGGGCAGTCTTGATGTCATCTAAGGTAAACCTGCTCTTTTGGAAATGATTATGTTTAAAATTTTAGGTTTTTAGAGAATGTAAACCTAGGTCTCTGCTTATTTTTTTCTAATAATTACATAGATTTTGAAAAATTAATAACTATAAGCTTTAAACCTTCATTTAATTCAACTTCACAACAAGTCAGTGTATGTGAATCTTATGTGCTATTTGGTCTTTTCTAATTCATTACTGCAAAACACATTCATCCTTAATTAATCACATTGAGACTCCTCTGGATTGGGCATCACATTTTCATATTATAATTGATTATGGTGATCTCTGCTCTGCTCATGTTGAGTGTAAGTACATTCTGTCAGTAAATATTGCTAAGTAAGAAATAAAATAAAAAATGAACTTTATCTTTACCACTGTCAATAAATGATTCAAAAATTTAGTAGGTATGCATGATTCAGAAGATATTTAATATAAAAGTTAATAGAAACAAGCATGTATTATTGTCTTTCTTTTTAGGGAGGGCAGTTGTGGGCAATCAGGCCAGCAGGAAAGGACAGTTTCGGGGGACCAGGCCTGAAGGGCAGTTTGGGGCAACCAAGCCTGCAGGGGAGGGCAGTTGGGGGCAACCAGGCTGACAGGGGAGGAAAGTTGGGAGTGGCCAGGCCTACAAGAGAGGGCAGTTGGGAGGGACAAGGCCTGAAAGGGAGGACAGCTGGGCCCAGAAAAGAACCCACACCTATATAGTTAATTAATATCTGACAAAGGAGGCAAGAACATACAATGGGATAAAGACAGTCTACTTAAGTGGTGCAAAGAAAACTGAACAGATGCATGTAAAAATAGAATCTAGACTATACACCATCTATACTAATAATAGAGGGATCTGCACATTGTCTGGGATGAAGTCACAGTAATAGTAATGACCAAATAGCAGGCTGCATGGGGCGACCAGGCCAGCAGGGGAGGCAGTTGGGAGCAACCAGGCTGGCATGTGGGGGCGGTTGTGGGTGACCAGGCCAGCAGGGGAACAATTGGGGGAAACCAAGCTGGGGTCAACCAGGGTCAGTTAGGGTCAACCAGGCCAGTGGGGGGACAATTGGGGGAAACCAAACTGGGGGTGCAGTTAGGGTCAACCAGTCCAGTGGGAGGGCAGTTAGGTTTGATCAGGTCAGCAGGGGGGCCAATTAGGGGTGATCAGGAAGGTAGGCAGGTGAGCAGTTAGGAGCCAGTGGTCCTGGATTGTGAGAGGAATGTCTGAATGCGGTTTAGGCCTGACCTCAGGCAGTTAGACATCCCCCGAGGGGTCCCAGATTGGAGAGGGTTCAAGCTGGGCTGAAGGGACCCATCTGCATGAATTTCTTGCACCGGATCTCTAGTATATAATAATAAACTAATTTGTATTAAAAACTTAAGTATGAGACTCAAAACTATAAACCTAGAAGAAAGTATGAATAGTAATACTAATAAATCTCTGATATTTCTCATAGCAATATTTTTTTCTGATATATCTCCTTATGTAAGAGAAACAAACAAACAAAAAATACAAATAGGACTACATAAAACTAAAATGTCATTGCACAACAAAGGGAACCATCAGCTAAACAAAAAGACAACCTACTAAATGGGTGAACATATTCATTAATGACACACGTAATAAGGTGTTACTATCTACAATTTATAAAAAACTCATACATCTCTACACTAAAAACACAATGATCTAATTTAAAAATAGGCAGAGGATCTGAATAGACACTTTTCTGAAGAGGACACAGAGATGTCCAAAAGACCTGTAAAAAGATGCTGAATATCACTAATCATCAGAAAAATGCAAATTAAAACCAAAATGAGATATTATCTTACACCTGTAAAAAATGGCTATAATCAATAAACCAATAAACAAGTGTTGTTGAGAATGTGGAGAAAAGGAACCTGTTTGTACTGTTGATGGAAATGCAAGTTGCTGTAGCCACTATTGAAAATAGTATGAATAATCTTCAAAAAACTAATAATGGAACTACCTTATGACCTACTGATTCAATATATATATATCCCTCCAAACTATAATTTTAAATAATGTATACAGCCCTATGTTAATTGCAGTGCCCTTTACAATGGCCAATATATGGAAGCAACCCAAGTGTCCATCAATACACAAGTGGATAATATAACATATCTGTATATATAAAAAGCTAATATGCTAAGTGTCCATCTGACTGGTCACTATGATATGCACTGATCACCAGGGGGAAGGTGCTCAAGGCAGGAGCTGCCAGGAAGTACACTGGCCATTTACAGAGAAATAGCCCACAAAGAAACACTCAGCTTACCCCATGTGGGACACAGGCCCTGCCACCACCGGGGAGCAACAAACCACCAAATCACAGCTGATGCTGCTGAGACCCAATGGTGAGAAATGTGGCCCAGAAATGGTCACTGTGGGTGCTGGGCTTCCTTTTCCTAGCAACACCTGGCTTCCTTTCCCTAGCAATGACTAGCCTCCTTGCAGTTTCTTCAGTCGGAGAACACTACTTGCTTTATAGACAGATGAAAACATTTCACACTTCAACCAAATGTCTGTGAAGCGTTTTCCCGTGCCTCATCTCATTTGATCCTCACAGAAGTCCTGGAGTAGGTAGATAAGAGATTCAGTTGAATCTTATTTTCTTTTCATTAGCCAGAAAATGGAGATTTAGAAAGTTTAGAAACATGACCCAACTGAAAAGAAGTAAATAGTGGACCTTGAAAACAGCTTCAGGTTTTCTCACTGGGCAGAATATAGAAAAACACTGCTGCAGTTAAATATTTTAGCCTTTGTTCTCCCTGCGTGATCTACAATAATAATCTGCTTTGCATTGATATTTACTGCTGTGCTGCGACAATTACCTGAAAAAGAAATTGGAATGCTTCACTGGGATATGAAAAGTTTAGTTACATCAGAAACCAGGTCTAAGTATGTAATTTTATTCTACGTATATATGTAAAAGACTAAGTTGAGTCACACATGTACAATATGTAAAACGCCCTAACTGGCATCAATCTCACACAGGTGTTTCGATCTGTCATTGTCGACCATGACACTTCTATTATAGAGAAAGGATGAATATCAATTTTAAAATATTTCTTCTAATTAATTTCCTTTCAATGTGCACAAATCCGTGTGCCAGACCACCAGTATGTAATATTAGTCAGCTATAAAAAAGAATGAAATCTTACCACTTGCAACAGCACGGTTACACCTACAGGATATTATGTTAAGTGGTCGGTAGCCACATGTGGCTCTTTGTCCCCTTGATTGTGGCTCTTTCACAAAATACCGTGTGCGGGCATGCATGTAAAGTGCGATTGAAACTTCATGGCCCATGTGCAGAAGTTGGTTGTCAGCCTGGGTGAGTCTATTTTGAAGAAGTAGCATTAGAACACTCAAGGGGCCAAAGAGTTGCATATGGCTTGTGAGCCACGGTTTGCCAGTCACTGTGTTAAGTGAAATAAATCAGTCAGAGAGAGACAAATGTGCACTTAAATGTGAAATCAAAGGAATGAAATAAATAAACTAACAAAATTGAAACTGACTCATAGATATAGAGAACAGATAGTTGCCAGAAAGGAGAGGTGTTGGAAAACTGGATGAAAGAGGTGAAGGGATTAAGAAGTACAAAATTCTCACAGGTATGTAAAGTACAACATAGGAAATATAGTTAACTAGAGGCCTGTTGCACAAGATTCATGCAGTAGGCCTTCCTTCACCTGGCTGCTGGCAAAGGTTTCCTCCAGCACCCCAAACCCAGGCCTTTGCTCTGGCTGCCGCCTTCTGCCTTCACTCCAGCCGGAGTCTTCAGGCTTCACTGGCTCTAGCCAGAGCACCGCTCCTGTAGCTCCTTCCCCCCCTTGCCCTCCATCTCATAGCAGGCATCCTGTCCTGCCTGGCCATTCCATGCCTGGAGTAACTGGCTGGTGGGGCCATTGCCATCTTTGTCCTAATTTGCATATTCCCTCCTGATTTGCTGATGGGTACTACAGAGGTATACTCATTGTACATATTTCTCTTTTATTAGTGTAGACTAGGGGCCCCAGGCATAAAATTTGTGCACTGAAGAGGATTCCTCAGCCCAGCATGCCCCTTCTCACAGACTGGGAGCCCTCCAGGGATGTCCTGTTGATGGACTGTGGGGAGCAGGTTTAAGCTGCAGTCTGGCCTTCCTCTGTGGGAGGCGACCACGCTGATCAGGGGAAGGCACCTGCTCCATCACCCCGCTGCTGCAGCCACTGCCAACCACCACAGCTGTGTTTTCATCAACACAGACTCCAGTACCTTCACCATGAAAAAATGAAAACTTTCTTTAGGTATTTTCAAGATGTATTTTTCATAGGATAGGACATTTCTTTCTTTCTTTCTTCCTTTTTTTATTCTCATATGAGGATATGTTTCCATTAATTTTTAGAGTGTGGAAGAGAGAGGGAGAGAGAGAGAGAAACATCAGTGTGAGAGGGACATTTTGATTAGTTGCCTGCTGCATGAACCCTAACCTGGGCCCCAGCCCAGGAGGGACCTGTAACCTAGCTACTTGCCCTTGATTAGAATTGAACCTGGACCTTGCGGTAGGCAGGCCAAAGCTCTATCCACTGAGCCAAACCGGCTAGGGCAGTATATGACATTTCTTAGCCCCTCCAGCAGCAGACTTTCATTTGTTTCTCTAAGAGTATGGTGGAAAAACCCTATATCACCTTTTTGGATTCTTATAACCCAAGTTACCAAGAACACTGCAAGTGGCGTCTTACAGGGAACTTAGCCAAAAAGCGGTCAGAAAAGATGTTTATGCTCAAACTGTTTTTGGTTCAGTGGATAGAGCATCAGCCTGCAGACTGAATCAAAATCCCAGGTTTGATTCCTGTTAAGAGCATGTACCATGGTTGGGGGCACATCTCCAGTGGGGAATGTGAAGGAGGAAGCTGACTGATGTTTCTATCTCACTGATGTTTCTGACTGCCTATTCCCCTGCCCTCTTCTTTGTAAAATATCAATAACATATATTTAAAAAAAAGAAAAAAAAAAGAAAAAAAAGAAAAGGTGTTTCCTCCACAGCTCATGTGCAGAGTACCCCCTGTATTGTGTCCACTGGGCTAAGGGCATATCCCAAACATGGCATCCAGCCCCTCATTGTGGGCACTGGGCTGGGGGTGTGTGTGCAGATCCTGGGTGCATGGTGGCTGCCAGATCCACATGCCCCCAAGGCTGGCAGCCAGCCCCACATTATGGGCACCAGGCTGGGGGCGTGGACCCAGAGCATCGCTTGATGCCAGCACAAGAGCAAGTGGCTGCCCTGTCCCCAGCTGCTAGGAGCCTGCACCTATAGGTCTGGAGTGGCTGGGGGTGTTCTGGGACCCTGACCACTCAGGGCCTACATGTGGACCTACAGGCTAGGAGTAGCCTGGGTCCCAAGGATGTTCCCAAAACCCAGGCCGCTTGATGCCTATGTATGCAAATTAATCTGTAATCTTTGTTGGGTTAATTTGCATACTCACTCCTGATTGGCTGCTGAGTGTAACAGAGGTATGGTCAATTTACATGTTTCTTTTTTATTATATAGGATAATATTGTAATAGCTATGCATGGTGCCAGATGGGTACTGGAAATACTTTCTAAAATATATGATGATATAACCACTATTCTGTAGAGCTAAAACTAATAAAAATAATGTTGAATGTAAACTATAATTGAAAAATAAAATGTTTAAAAGGTGGGAAAATAAATGATGGAGAGGAACAGTTATTTTATCTTTTCCATTTCACTTATTGTATTACTAGAGGCCTGATGCACAAAGATTCATGTAAGAGTGGGACTTTCTTTCCGTGGCTGTTGGCACAACCTTTACTCAGACTGCAGCGGCCTTTCTGCCTTTGCTCTGGCCCAGAGCTGCCTTTCTGCCTTCCCATGCTGCCCAGAGGTCTGGAGTGGCTGGGGATGTGTGGAACAGTTGTGTCTGGTCCCCAGCTGGTTGGCTCCAGTGTATGCAAATTAGCCTGCCATATTTATTGGGTTAATTTTCATACTCACTATTGATTGGCTGGTGGGGGTTGCAAAGGTACAATCAATTTGCATCTTTTTCTTTTATTTTTCATTAGAGAAAACAGGTAATTTCATTTGTCAATACTTGAACAATGTCAATCCAAAATAGATTTATAATATTGTTTGGAAGAGGAAGTTAAAAAAAAAAGTAAAGATCTGTAATTTCAGGCAATCTTTAATATTACTCATTATCAACAGTTTCATTATACATATTGGGTATTCATAGTGTTGGGCTTCTATTTCTTAATCTGTCTGCCTGTAGATTATAGTGGAGCTCATACTTATTTAAGTTTGTGCCCTCTTATATATTTGAACATTATTAAATACATCTGCACTTTGATATGTATGTTGGGGATTTCATTGCCTAAATTTAATGCAATGGCCATTGAATTAATGAGCTGTCTCTACTTCTCTGTTAGTAATTGAGAATACAGAAATGAATGAAACATGATCCTACCTAATAAGAGAGTAATATGCAAATTGACCATACCTCTTCTACACCCACCAGCCATGCCCACCAGCCACACCCACCAGCCAATCAAAGTAAATATGCAAATAAACCCAACCAAGATGGCTGTGGTCACAGAGATAAAAAGGGAGGCTTTGGTTTCCCTGGCAATGGAGGAAGCCAAACTTTCTGCCTGCCCTTCCCGACCCAGGTCTCCATTCAATGTTCCTAAGTTTCAATTATAGAAGGTAAACAAATCCAAAAAGAAATGGCTACTGCCACAGAGCAAGCAGGAGGCTTGGCTCTGCTCCAAGTTACAAAGTTTCAATTGTAGAAGGTAAATATATTCCAGATACCAGGGCCTTTGCTTGGGTCACCAGGGTTTGTGGCTGGCCTGCAAATGACTACAGGCCCTTCACCCAGGCCACCCCACACCCCAAGGAAACCCTCACCCTGATCCAGGACACCCTTTAGGGCAAACCAGCTGGCCGCTGTCCATGCACCAGGCCTCTATCCTACCTAATAAAAGATTAATATGCAGATTGACCATCACTCCAACACACAAGATGGCTGCCCCCATGTGGTCAAAGATCCTGCCCCTATGTGGACACAGATGGCCACCACAAGAGAGCCAGCAGGGGAGAGCCATTAGGAGTGAGCAGGCCTACAAGGGAGGGCAGTTGGAGGCAATCAAGCCCACAGGGGAGGGAAGTTAGGGGTGACCAGGTTGGCAGAGGAGGGAAGTTGGAGGTCACCTGACCTGCAGGGAAAGACAGTTGGGCGGGACCCAGGCCTGCAGGGGAGAGCAGTTGTGGGGGACCAGGCCTGCAGGAGAAGGCAGGTAGGAGTGACCAGGCCCGAAGGGGAGGGCAGATAGGGGTAAACAGGCTGGCAGGAAAGCAGTTAGGCATCAATTAAGCTGGCATAGGAGAGGTTAGGGGGTGATCAGGCTGGCAGGCAGAAGCAGTTAGGGGCAATCAGGAAGCAGGCAGGCAAGCAGTTGGGAGCTAGCAGTCCTAGATTGTGAAAGGGATATTCGACTGCCTGTTTAGGCCTGATCTAAATGGGCAGTTGGACATCCCTCAAAGGATCCCCTATTGGAGAGGGTGCAGACGGGGCTGAGGGACACCCCCCTTTGTGCATGAATTTCATTGCACTGGGCCTCTAGTATTGCTATAAAGTAGTTTCTAGTCTAGGCAACAATAATAGAAGTAAATAATGTTTTTTAGTTTCTAGTCTAGGCAACAATAATAGAAGTAAATAATGTTTTTTTCCAAATTTATTTTTAATTTTTAAGATGTATTTTTTTTTTTTTACTGTATGCAGCTAAATAATCTTTTGAAGTAGTTTTGAATTTCCCATATCATTAATTGTTACTACTGTTATTGCATGTAGACTGGGCCAAGAACATGTCTACCTTGGGCAGGTCGATAGTGTGTTGGTTCTTGCCTTTATGCAGGAAAGATTTCATAACACAGTCCAGGTGGTTAAAGCTGGTACAGTGAAACAAAAGAAGGACTTGGGGTAGAAGAAGCAACAGGAGGGAACTTGGGCAGGAAAGAAGTGAACCAAGGCTGGGCTGCTGTTAGCTCACTGAGAAGTTAGAGAAAAACAGGTTATAAACAGATTCAGGGGGTTAATCTGGGATAAGGTGCTGCTACCTGCTTCTTCCTTGATTGCAAGTCTCATGGGAATTCTTAGAGTTTAGAAGAGAAAAGTAAATATATGTGTCTAAGAGGAGAGAAAAGCATCCATAGAAAGCCTGTAGCAGCATCCTTTGTTCTGAAGGGTTTTTTTGTTTGTTTGTTTGTTTGTTGTTTTGTGTGTGTGTGTGTGTGTGTGTGTGTGTGTGTGTGTGTGTGTGTGTGTGTGTGTTTTATCTCTCTTCTGCTGGTGGGAATCTTAGAGGAGGTTTCAGGAGAGGATCTTAACTGACTAGTCATTGGTTTTCCAGGTGTGTCCTTCAATATGTTGAGTAATCAAAATAGTGTACAGGGGAGTTTGGGATCATTTTCTAGTCAGCTTCATTGCTTTACTTTTATCTTGAGTTGGCCTGGCTTTAATTGGCTTTTTTATATCTGTTCCATGACTTCATCCATCCTTGGGTTTGGCTGGCACAGATGACACTAGTGGGTCTCTTCCTGGTCAGGATTATTTAAGCTATTGATTCCCTGGTTGGAAGGGGAAATATAAACTATTTGCTCTCAGGTTTCCTTGGTTGGGGAAGATATGGTCTTGGGATTCACAAGTTGGATATAAATTGTTCAAATTTTTTGGCTATGTTTAATTATCTTGTCTTTGTTTCCCCCTTCCACTTGCTAAGGAATTTCCCTAGCTTCTTACTGTTCTGCCTCAGTATAAATGTACTAATCTGTAGATGGCAGCCAAAATCAAAACTCACATATTTAAAAATACTCTCCATTTCAGGGTGCAAATATTCAAAACTTACTGATAGTGCATAGTGAAACAAATGCATAATAACTGATTTATTGAGGAAGATAAGATTGTTTCTATTGAGGATTAAGCAATTCCAGGCAAGGATTATAAAGTAATACATAGGGAAAAGGAAATTTTCCATTAGAGAAAACAGGTAATTTCATTTGTCAATACTTGAGCAATGTCAATCCAAAATAAATTTATAATATTGTTTGGAAGAGAAAGTAAAATAAAAAAAAAATAAATAAAGATCTGTAATTTAAAGTAAAGATCTGTAATTTCAGGCAATCTTTAATATTACTCATTATCAACCGTTTCATTATACATATTGGGTATTCATAGTGTTGGGCTTCTATTTCTTAATCTGTCTGCTTTGAAGAAGCTACAGGAACAAAGTCAATGCATGTCACAATGAAGTAAGTTTAGTTGATGTGTTGAGAGCCTAGTAATCCTTGAGCTGGCTATGGATTCATCTATTAAAAATAATGCTAGACACTCTCCATATTAAAGAATAAAGCTAAGGGAAAACCCTATGGCTTGACTTGGAAACTCACTTTTATGTAACAATGGTGAAAATTAGACCAATTCTTAGGAAAGCCATCAGAAATTTTATTTTTTTTACAGTAAAGCTGCATTCATGTTTCCTTTTTTCTCTTAAAACTATTCCTATTAAAATTACTAAAATGAAACATTTTTAACAATTTAGTATCATGTGGGCAAGCAAACATTTAATCTCATGTCCCTTACACTACTGGATGGAAGTGCGCACTGTGAGTGGGTAGCTTTTTATTGTTGACAATCTTTTTTATCTTCAGAAGGCAGATCATGTTAATAATTTTAAAAGTAACATAGAGAGTAAAATATACTTCTCATGTTTGAAATGGGAAAAATATTATAAATCTTGTAATTTACCTAATTTACTGTGTGAAATATTTTCCTCAAACTGTCTCTAACCACACTGGAAAGTGGTTTCTTTGCACTTCTCTTTAAGCAAATAATTTTCCTCTATACTAAGTCTCATCTATAAATGATCTTCATTTCATAGTAACACTAATTAACTTATTATTAGATTTATGGGTAATGAGCTGAAAATACCACCTGAGTAAAACACTATATTAAAGGCTGGGTGATTAACCAGAACTTGATCATGTGTATTAATTTAGATTAAACATTAGTTGAAATAGCTGCACACTGCCCACCACTTCTCAGCATATCTTCACTACACTCAGCCTATATCCTTTTACAGGAGGACAGATACATGCACTGCAATTTTAAGAGCTTCTCTAACTGTTTGCAAGGATAATACATGATCAATGCAATATATAATCAAGTAGATTCAGTTTTTTCTGGCCACTTGTTTAAACTTCTTTATTTGGGGTGATGGGGTAGGGGAGAAAAAAGGTATCAGGGCACCCTCTGCTGGTAAGCTCACATATGAATTAAAATAGGAATTTTGAAAGGATAAAATTACATTTTGGGGGACCTCCACACTTCACCCCCACCTTCCTCATACCCAATCCTCTTAAAACATTAAAAGTTAAATAGTCATAAACATAAGGACCTATATTTTAGGTTAGAAAACAGGACTTTGTTTGAGAGAATAGCTATTAAATGCAGTGAAGCTGATAACCGATTTTATTTTTTCTACTTAATTGATGTACTAAGGGCCTGGTACATGGATTTGTGCACCGATGGGTCCCTCTGGGTAGCCTGCAGGGATTAGACTGAAACCCACATTCTAACGTTGCCTGCAGGTCCTATCTGCTGCTCCTGTTCATCCTGGCCCCACTGTACCTGCCTGGGTTTGTATCCAATCAGTCCCAATCGGGAGAGGCTTGCACTAACACAGCAGTGCTTGCCAATGGTGAATCCTGCATCTGGCGCCCTTTCAAGGGAAATGGCCTGCGGGATCAGGCTGAAACAAGTTCTCTGACATCCCCTGAAGGGTCTTGGATTGCGAGAGGGTACAGGCCAGGTGGAGGGACCCACTGATGCACAACTAAGTCGGGGAGGAACCCAGGAAGGCTCCAAGGCATACCTAGTCCATCTTGCTCAGTCCCGGTCAGCAGAACCCCAGCAGCAAGCTAACCTATCAGTTGGAGCATCTTCCCCTGGTGGTCAGGGCACATCATAGCGAGCAGTTGAGCAGCCTTAGCATATTGTTAATATATTACACTTTGATTGGTTGAACAGTTGACTGGTTACTAGACTACTGGACACTAAGCATATTTGGCTTTTATTATATAGGATAATTAAAAAATACCATGGTGACATAATTTCCAAATTAGTGTCCCCCACACACACTTCTTCTTGTTCTTGTTTTTTTTTTGTTTGTTTGTTTGTTTTTGTTTTTTTAGATTATGCACATTTGCAAATATGGCATTAATCCATTTTTCCATTGATTTTTAG